TCTCCTGGACGCGCGCTGCTTCTTACTGCTTAATTAAAACAGATTTGCCCACGAGCGGGCTTGTGAGTGGTTTGTGTGTCGGCTTTGGGAGATACTGGATCTGTACGGACTCACAGATGTGATGGGGGTACAGGGTGGGGTTGTAAGGCAATGGGTTTAGATAGTTTCTTGCTCACAGAGTGAATGCATTCCAAGGAGCAAGAGATTTGTTGTTGGTGAGAATTAAATTTTGAAAAACATTTGGAATCAATCAAAAAAAGCCCTCGGGAATTTTTTTTTTTTTCCCCGCTCTAAAAAGGTGAGGAGGAGGGATGTTCAAAATCTGTGTTTCCTCTTAATGTAACATCTGGCATTTCCATGGTGTAAATAAATTGGAAAATGCTTTCCTTGAAACCTGTTTAGCTACAGAAACGGGTTCAGGACTGGGGAATGAGGCTGTTTTATAGAAGGGTAGTAGTCTTTTTTTTTTTATGGTGGAGCAACTGTCTCAAGTTCTAGAATTCTTTCGCGGTGGAAAAAGCATGTAGCAATTTGGTTGGGTTTCATTACATCTGTAAAGCGGGTCTGGGGCGTGGGGGGTGGAAGGGCGGACCCGCAGCCAGAATGTCTCTGGCGGCCGTAAGGACCAGCATGATCCCTCTGGCGTGGCCTTCATACGAGCTCAGGCGTGCCCGGCTCCCAGCCAGCGCTTGTCATGTCTTGCCCTGCTCTGGAACAAGGAATATTATTGTTGTTGTTGTTGTTCCTCTCTGGAAACCAGGCACCTTCAGTCCGCAGGCCGATGCTCTATCCACTGAGCCCTGTTGCCTGATTCCATGGATTGCAGGTAGAAAAAGGAATGTGTGGTGTTAGATGTCAGGGTAGTGGCTCCCCTTCAGGGAAGAGAGTATCTTTAGGAAAGAGGCACAAAGAGGTTTTGGGGGTGCTGCTGATACTCTGTTCCTTGACATGGGGGTGTGCCGTCTGTAAAGTGTTGAGCTATACCTTAATGATTTGTACATTTTTCTGTGTGAGTGTCACATTTCAAAAGAGATTCCAAAAATATAGTTCATGATCCCTGGCTACAGAATCAGAATCTCTGCATTTTCTTAATTATTATTTTTATTATTTTTTAAAAAATATATTTTTCAGGTGGAAAAAGGAATGTGTGGTGTTAGATGTCAGGTTAGTGGTTCCCCTTGAGAGAAGAGAGTATCTTAGGAAAGAGGCACGAAGAGGCTTTGGGGGTGCTGCTGATATTCTGTTCCTTGACATGGGGGTGTGCCGTCTGTGAAGTGTTGAGCTATACCTTAGTGATTTGTACATTTTTCTGTGTGTCACATTTCAAAAGAGATTCCAAATATATAGCTCATGATCTCTGGCTACAGAATCAGAATCTCTGCATTTTTTTAATTATTATTTTTATTATTTAAAAAAATATATATTGTTATTGATTTCAGAGAGGAAGGGAGAAGGAGAGTTGAGAGAAATGTCAATGATGAGAGAGAATCATTGATCAGATGCCTCCTGCATGCCCCCTACTGGGGACCGAGTCCATAACCTGGGCATGTGCCCTGAACAGGAATTGAACCCTGATCTCCTGGTTCATAGGTCGATGCTCAATCACTGAGCCACGCCAGCCAGGAGGAATCTCTGCATTTTAAAAAGCCCCCTTCCACATTTTTCTTAAGAACACTGGATTTTGGAAATTTTTGCCAAAGGAAGGGGATCAAGTACATAATTCTCCCGTTCTACCCTGCACGTAAATATCCCCTAGCAAAGAGCGGCTCGCTTTCCTTGAGTCACTGACCTTCCGTTAGGAAAGCGCGTGCTGAGAGAGCACCGAGATCGCTGGCACACAGATCATTTACAGACGTTATTGCTTCGAATGTGCCCCACGCACAAGCACTTATGAGTATTTCTTAGACACACTAGAGGCCAGATGCACAAAATTCATGCAAGAGTGGGCCTTCCTTCCCCCGGCTGCCGGCACCAGCTTCCCTCTGGCACCCGGGACCCGGGCTTCCCTAGCAGCCCCGGCCTTGTCTGGAAGGACGTCCAGTCTAATTAGCATATTATGCTTTTATTATTATAGATGAGGAATATTTATCAGAAGAGCTCCCTAAAAATGGCAGGTGCTAGGACCTAGTGGAATTCAGGCAACTTCAGTGGGAGGTGAGCCATGGCATGTGGGCCGCATGTGGGCCGCGGGGCGTGGTGCAGCGGAGGCAGGGACAGAAAAGCCAGTTCTTCTGCCCGGGAGCTCGGCGGGCTCCATTTCGGCTCTCTTCATCCCTCTCGTTCAACGGGAAGCATGTTTCTTGCCAAGGCGTTTTTGGA